TCTCTCTCTCTCTCTCTCTCTCTCTCTCTCTCTCTCTCTCTCTCTCTCTCAACGCAGCGCATAATTCTGCGTGCCCCACCAACTTCTGCGTGCACTCGAAATCAAAATACTACACGAAGTTGAATTTGGCTCTACCAGAAGAAGAAGAAGAAGAAGAAGAAGAAGAGACTAAGAATAGGAAGAACTAGAGGAAGCAGAGGAAATAGCTTACCGGTAAAGGGGAAGCTCGACGGCGGGCCGGGACGATGGCGACTCCACGGAGGCGGGAGCGAATGGGGGGGCGACGAAGTCTCGACTTCGTTCACGTTCGACGAGTGTCGAAGTGGCGGGAGGCTGGAGGCGGGGGGGAGGGTAGGCCAATGTTCGGGCGGTTTCCCGCCCAAATGTTCAAAAACTGGCGGCGTATCTGAGCCACGAATCTCACAAGATCGACAGTCCAGATAGGCCGCCGGTTTTTTAACAATCAGGCGGCCCTACCGGACCTGGTTCAATTTTTTTTGGGGCCGGGAGGCCTCCACGACCCGCATGGAGGCCTCCCGGCCCCTAAAATGTTTGAACCCCCCCCCCCCCCAATCAAAATGCGCAAACGGCCACCTAGGGGGAACCGGCGCAGTCTACTGACCGGTAGGACCGGCCCGGTTCCGGTGGGAGGTGGCCCCAGCGGGACAAGGTATGCAGCCCTGGATTCAATAGTTTTTTTTGTTTTTTGTTTTTTTTTCCCTTTCACAGAAAGCACGCTCCAATGGCCCTGACTCCATATCCGATCTGGGGAGCATCAGTTCGGTTCCTATTCCAATAACAAGTCAGATATACAATAAGGACACCCCTCATGCTTCCTTCCTTTTGACCGAAGGACCCCTGGTCCAGGGCCTGGAACATTGATTGGTCCAGAATCCAGATGCCTGGAACATTGATTGGTCCAGATGCCGGGAACATTGACTGTTAGCTTGCCTTCCCTGTACCTTTTTTCTCAGGTTTGTTTTTCCAAACCTGCCAAAAATTTTAAACTTAAAAGTTGAAACCAAAAAAGGACTGAGGAATGTGGAAACCAAAAGCCCCTGAAAGTGTCTGGGCTGTTCTGATTTGGCTCTCCGGCGCAGGAGTTGTTCTGTATTTCGGACCTTTGTGAAGTTTCGCAGTGATCTTTTCATCTTTTTTATTTCTTCTTTTGAAAAAATTCCCCTTTTTAAAGGCTTTTTTCCTTTTTACTAGTTTTTACTACTTTTTAGTGTTGTTGTATTGTTCATAAGTTGCTTAGTTTTGTTGTATGCCCTGAGGTTGCAAGCAAAACACACACACACACAC